CCACTAGGTATTAGCAACCCTTTGCTAAGCTGGCTAAAATTTTTTCTCATCGATCCCAGCCAAATAACAATAGTTAACTCAGTTCTGTCCGCTCCGAGATACATCACAAGTGGAGCTGTGCAAGGCGGCGTTCTCAGGCCCCTTGTGTTTATTATCCACACTAACAGTGTTTGCAGCTGCTTTGCCACGGGTGACGTCTTTCTGTATACTGACGACCCAAAAGTCGTTTGCTCTTGTCATAGCCATGGGCTGGGCGACACTATGACTGCTATTCGACACCAGCTAGAAAGAGTTTCTTCTCTTTGTGCTGATATCATTCTACAGTTCAGCATCAACAAATGCGAATGGATCTCTATTGGTAATGGTAACCTTGGTTTGATATTTGAAGTATCTGGACAACTGTTACCAAAACTTAGTTGTGTCTCAGACCTAAGGCTCAGACATTCCAGTGACTAGAATTTTTCTGAACAGGCAGAGTACAGCAAAACTAATTGGTGCAGACTCCTAGAATGCACCATTCGCAACTTTTATAGTACCGAATCGAGGGTCCTACTTTACAAAATATGCATCCGTCCAATTCTAGGATACTGCTCATTTGTCAAAAGTAGCTTTCGAACAGATAACAAACCGAAAGTCAAAGGGGTGCAACGCAAAAAGTAACATTAAGAACGCTAGGAGCTGACTGAAGCCTTGAATATATCTTCAGATGCAACGTGCTGGGACTAGAACCTCTCTGGAAGAGGCGACTTGGAATGAGTCTTACATTTTACTATGAGCCACTTTGTAAGCAAATGCACTCATGAGGCCCAGAAATTAAAACAGTCGTAACGTCCACTTACAATATACGTAATCACAAACTATTAGCTGAAAATGATTGGTGTAAGGATAATGTGTGAGTTAATTTTTTCTTCAATGAGTTCTCTCACATCTGGGGCAGACTTCATGAAGAGATATGTACTACAGGTTCATTATCTGTCTTTTACTCCTTACTTGATAAGCTCGCCACAGATAATGAGTCTCTCACTCTCTTAGTCACTACATATGCGTTCTGGGCTGATGAAAACATACCAAGACCTCTAAGCGTGTAAAGTAAGGCTATCACCAATCCCAGGTACCTTTTCCTTAATGGACCCAAGCATTTTTGCACAGGGCGCATGACTGCTATCCCACAAGTTGTGTAATCGGTAAGGTACACGTTAGAATAGTACATTTCACCTTGATGTAGTGTCACTGCTCCCTATACGTCTACAAATAGACACGGTATATCGAAAGGCTTGTGCGAACTTTACATAAGGAAATCATTAGGATTATCTTCACATGCATGGAATAAAGTGTACACATGGCTCGAGTGACTCTAAAAAGATAGGAACTTCTCTTTTCCCAGTTCGTCTTGTGTGGCATATCACTCTCTGATTTCTGCTAGGGCTTTCCTTTCTTCCCCTCTTTTCAGCTAAGGTTCGAAGAGAAAATGCTGAGCATAATTTTGACCGAAAATGTGGGCTTACTGAAATACTACTTCGTACGTGATACTTCAATATGAATTCTGAGTGTAAACCTCGATAACCACTGGGTAATAGTCATCCAAATGCTTCTTTGTACCGCAACAACTAATTCTGATGGTTCGCATCTGCATTGCCGAGTAAGGTAACAATACGAGTGGGAAATGCGTGGATTATATGGTTATGCTAACCCTTGCTGTTACCTGAGATCGGTGAGGTGAGTTTTCGTCGGCTAGTGACGCTATAGACACGTGAAATGTTAAAATAAACGTTTACGTGGCGATACACGGAACTAAACCCCAAGCATCTCGGTCACATGTGGCTTAAACGTTGAACACTGCGATTTTCGTGACACTTTATTGTGAAAAAAGTGTGTTGAGTGGAAACGACCGAAACATAAACAATCTGTATGCACTGTGAAGTGATATTTTCCCGTTCTTTTATAATCTGCGGACACTTTGGTATCATGACAAGCGTTGATGCCTTGCCTTCTTTATCATTCAGGACAAGTCAACTAATGGAGATTTCTCCATCACTGTCAATTTGATGATGCCTGAAAACTGGCTTCTTTCTTGTTAAACTCTCAATCTGAGATTAAAATATTTATTTATTTATTTACACCGTAGTCGCGATACGAAGGCCAGTGTTAATAACTAAATAGACAGATGAATACTTTAGTCTCATGTTATGAACATAACACTTAGCCACCTTCTACTAAGAATCAACTCTGTGGGATCTCCCGGATAACCCATCTGTCCTGCAATTCACAAAATAATCGCATCTCTGGATGTGCTGACCATGGCACACCTGAGCCAGCTGCTATCTACTGCGTCCAGCAGCAAATTCAGTAGCGAAGACGTTGAAGTGACACCCTCCCGTCCCACAGGCCAATAAAGGGTCGATTATCACTTGGTCAGCAGGTAGTAGTCATGTATGTAACTCTAACGAACTTACATGTACCTCGACATTTTTCACTGGGTATCTCATAAACTCGAATGATTATGAAATAGCACATTCATTCAGGCTCGAAATGATCCAACCTTTATAGTAGCCCCATCATAAAACTTTGTCCTTCGGTTTAACTCACTTTCTGTCCGCAGTGAGCTAAATTGTCTAGAGTCTTCAGCATGCCTAATCAGTCGTTGCGGCACCCTAACCACTGAAACGTAGAGTGCATCAGACACCTCAGAACTAATGTCCTCGATAGTTAATGACAGTCTTCACAGTGATACTTGCAAAGTAAGAGGCTGTGTTGTTTGCCTCTGCTTTCATTTATCGTCTTCACTGCCTTCCTATTGGGTTGGGTGACATGGTTATAATGAATATTAGTGCTTGCCCCTATTGCACAATAGTGGTTGGTTCTCCGTGTAGCCCACCACACTCTGGATCTGTCGTCGATGAGCACACAAATGGAATATTCAGCCCTGTCATCCTTGCCTACTTGTAGAGGAGTAAGTAGTGATTTCAACATACCAGACACCTCACGGGGTCCCTTCTAGTGCCATTTCGTTTCACGCTATTTTTCAAACCATAAGAAATAGTGCATGGGCTTTTAGGATTTGTCCTGGTGCGAACTTGACAGACGCAAAGACCAATCACCAATTATTCGGACTTGTTGTATACCCACGAATACAAGACCAAGGAAGAATACGATAGCATAGTCGGATGGAATAGTATATTTGGATGGTTGTGGCAAAATACCGATGCGTTCCAACTAACTAGCTAGAGGGTCGAATACGAGCAGTGCAACGTAACACGACAGCGTGTCAAATAGCGAGGATGCTTGACCGGGTGCCTTCAGCTTAGCGAGCCCAGTCAAACTATCAAGGTCAGCATCAATGTCGAAAGTCGTCAAACCCTAAGCTATTGATTTTGGGGAAGTGTGTGACGCTGCGGGCCCAAGCAGTTTATGGTTGTAACAAAACAAATAATCTACTAGGTCTGATTTTTTAAACATTGTGCAACATTTTACTTTATGTACAAGTAATGAATTCCAGGAAAGGAGTCACATAGTTAACATCGACCTCCTAAACTCTGTTTTGAATGCATCCATCTTCGGTAGTGTAAACAGCGATATTAACGACAGTAATAAACTTTAGTGACGGCCAATCATGTTAAAGTATACAGTACCAAGTCGGAATGAAGTACACGAAGGACATTAATTGTTGAGGGAAGTAGTATTTCGTTTACAATTTAAGGATCCGATCTGCTTGGAAAATACAGAAATCTGGGCATTCAAGAGGTTGATCATCTTTTAAATCATTTCGTTGTCTTTATTGCCGCTCATCCATATGAAATCATAACATTTCCCTTTGTGACCACGGTAAAGGTCTCGGAAAGTTTCTTAGATGACCCCACATAGTCTGCAAATTGTCGTCTGGACTTCAGTTGTAGGATCAACGGGATGTTCTCTGTGAACAACAACTTGATAGGAGCAACTCATTCCAACAGCGTATACGAATTCGAAGCCATTGTGTACATTGTAGCAGCCAGTTCCATCCGCTTTTCTATAGTTGGCAGGATAGATGCTTCTGACATATCCTTTATGAGCTGGAAATGTACTTTTCTCGTATTTCAGTCGTATGCACCAAGAATCTTGGATTTTTCAAGATGTATGTATATAATTTACTCAGACCTGTTTAAATCATCTTTTTTGGTTGTACTTACTTTTCTGGACAAGACACTCATCTACCTTGGCCATGTTATCTGCTTCAGCACTGCTTGAATCCAGAATAAAAACTGTTTTAGACCAGACATTTTCACGCTGCTGAAATCAATGCACTGAACAAACTCCGGTAACAACTGTCAGAAATCTTGCCGATATTACAGGTTTCCATAGACCAATATAGTACTAAAATCATTGTTTGTTGGAGAGTTAGGTGAAATCCCCTGGAAAACGATCTCAGTATCAAAGATTCAGTCTTGTGGTGTCTAGGGAGACAGAAGATGAAACCGTTTCTTCTCCTCTTGTTGAGTATACAATGCATTATAAAACCATATCCAAAATTTAAACTTCTCACGAGCTATCTAATTCTTCTCAAGTAACCCACAACATATTCTTCGTCGTAATTCATCAAGTTTATGCTTCGTCAACAACATGGAAAACTGACTTCATGAGTGATCTTGAATTCAGCAAGTCTAAGCTGTGTGGTCGTCCTCAAGGTGTTCCGTCATTAAAGTTTAGTTCTACCATATTTATGTAGATTATTCGGAACTTAGATAGACCTTAATAATAAAAGCTCACGAAAGGTCACCAGTTGCTCAGCATCTAACGGAACCGAATAATAGCAACCCTCATAACATTCTTATTCTAAAAGCTTCAGAGTTGGACTTCGAACATCAGGACCTTGTTTAATCAGATCAGTTGGGTGACCTGGGTTATGGTCGATGTCCGGCTTGCCGTCGCCCTGGTTATCGCATACTTTCCTGTTTAGTCAGTCAAGGGGCTACATTATACGTTTTAAGCTTGTCCTGACGACTTGACGTTGTAAGAACTACAACATGAGGCGTGGGGAAGGCCCAAAGGTGGAGTTACGGTTCCTTATATCCACCAAAGTAAATTCATATTTTATATTTTCGACTCAACAAAGGCAGCAGGTGTTATAATAGGCAAAGGGGGTGAAAATATTAAAAAGATTCGTGAGGAGGTAAATCTTTGCTCAAATACTGCTTTCCCTTCTGCCTTGTAACCTACTAAGTCCTAACTTATGAGTGTATTTTCTCTTTCATTTCTGGTTTTGTCCTACTCTTGGCCCGTTCGAATATCAATGTGTCCAAACCAATGGTTCGTAACCCACCCCACCCTGCCCCGTATTGTTCATCTGCTTTTCGCACCATTCACTAATCCGGTCCACTCCCGGTGGGTCTTTTCTTACTCTTGTTTGTACCACTAGTACTCCGTTAAAGTTACCATTCCCGATAGCAACGGTCCTGAGAGGTATATTCCCATGTCCCACTCAATGCATTTCCTAATTTTATACAACCTAATGTTTTTTCATCTAAAGGGTCCTGGTTTTGGATGGTGATCTCGGATCAATCGTCGAAATATTCAGAGAAAATCTTGAAAAGGTATGCTACTGTACGACTGTTAATACCTTTCTGCAGATGCAAAATAGTCGGGAGGATGGTGTTGACCTGCGCCTACTTGTGCACCACAGTCAAGCTGGATGTGTTATTGGAAGAGGCGGTTATAAAATAAAAGAACTCCGCGAAGTATTTCAAAGTTGTTGCTATTAATCCGAAAATCTAGCAATCAGGTCTTCATACCCTCAAAGTATATCAAATGCTGTGCCCTTGTTCGACTGACAGAGTAATCCAGTTAGTTGGAGATGTGGGGAAAGTCATAAATTGTTTGCAATCTATAGCTGAACTCCTAGAAGTAATTTCCATTGTTATTTATTGTTTTAGGGTGCTCCGCCTAAAGGATCTCGTCAGAATTACGATGCACGGAATGTAGATGAAACTACCTCTCCCGAGTATGGAGGTTGGGGTTTAAACAGCCAAGGCTCTGGTCTTAATCTTGTTCGTAGTAGAAATGTCGCCAACGCGAACTACACCCAAGTGAGCTTGCTATCTAACTGTTTTCTCATAAGAGCTTATGAATTCATAGTTTTCCCGTAAGTACTTTACGTCCCAACAATGAGGCCGTACCTTTGTTTTCTGAACATAAATCGTCTTAAATGGTCCACATCTACAGATGCCTTAGTTGCAGTGCACAATTGCACAGAGTGAAATCACCTAAACCACCTGAAAAAACATTAAAGATTTCTGGGTTTGTAGAACTCGTTTATATTGTTTGCTTCAGCTGTCGGGTTTATATCACTTTCGTGTAAACATCTTCCATCTAGAATATTTCACATACCACTGATAATACTGGTTAAAAATCATGACTACCGTGTAAACTATTTACTCCATATGTTGACCACGTGGTTACTTTATTTGGAAATCGTGACATCGGTTTTCAGTCTAGAGTAGTTTAAGTCAGTAGTATTGATATTGTATCAATGCCCTAGACAACTGTCTGGTCTAAAATTAGTCAAGAACATAACTAACTATCAAAAGTAAACAACATAGCAAAAAATGTTGCCATTTGCAGTTTAAGGCATCGGATTGCGCACCACATCGTTGGTTAAATCCACTTACGATGCCCAGTTGCTCGTCATAGATTCCGTTTTAACGCATCGAATTCCTAGGATTCGGTTAGAGTTCCACAGCCTCTAACTACTACGTTTAGGTTTTCATCCCTTAATTTTGTGACTGCTATGAAACATGGATTGAGTCAAATTTCTGCGTTCCGCTATGATCTTTTTTCATGATCCGAATGCAAACTAAGTTGGTGTCCAACAATGCACCACGTAATTGCTCTCTGGTGTGAGACAAAATGGCTACCAACGAATTACGCGTACATAACGAGTGCGAAGGAAACATTTTTTTTACACGTATGTTCAGTGCAGATTCCCGTTAGTCACCTTGGTTTGAACACGGCAGTTGGTACTAAAGTGACATCAATCGTTGATACTAATCTCGAGTTTTAAAGCTTCAAGATACTTGGCGTGCACACTTAGACATCATTATGTAACGATCTCAGGCGTTCCATATGACTGACAACCAGTTAGTGTCATTCATAAAAAAGTGAGTTACTGAGTCTTTGCTTTCTACTTTTGTAATTTTCTTCCTTTTCTATTTTTGCATTGTGTAAATATCTGTTGCTGCAAATAAACTGAGTCATACGTAGTTGCAGCGTGTTCGACGCTATACCTCAAATGTAAGCTTTATTTGTCCGATTAACTAAAGGAGTATATGTGATAAGTTAACTTAGAGCTGCTAGTCATTGGTTTTAGTACTTCACCTTCAGAAAATCACAAGTTCAAAAGCCCCTTCGTGCACCATAATTTGAGTTGCATACAGTGTGACTGGAAACATGACATGAACTTGTCTGTAGTTGAATTTATTTGTCGCCTTGGTATTTTTTCTTAAAACTGCACTTGAAAACCTACGTGAAATCTTTTGTCTTGAATTTTATATCGTTTGTACAGAACAATATACTCGCAACCGGAATTTTCGGTGGTGGTGCTTCTGGAGCACATGTTGCTGGACGCGGTGGTGGACAGGCAGCCTCTGTTAATCAAGCACTAACTGGAGGTCTCCCTCACGCATCAGCTGCCGCGATGCTTGCTGCAACCGGTGGTCAAACAGCAGGCGGACCAAACGCAGGTCCCGGAGGAGACGCTGCTGCAACTGCTGCAGCCATGGTGGCTGCAGGGTTTATGAGAGGGTATGTATTCTTATAAGCATTGACTCATTAGTTCTCATGCTACCTAGTTTTGCTGTCTTCAATACTGCAGTCAAATAGACGTACAAAAGTATCATACGTACAATCTTCGAGACATTACTCTTATGACCATTGAAATCACACTACAAAAACGAAACTCCTTAGTTAAACATTCCCAAACCCTCTTAAGCCAGACTAATCACAAAAGAAAGTTATCATTTTTTACTTACCAGCTCTAAGGTTGGTAATTGGTTTGTCTGATGTTCACTACACATAACAGTTAAGTCCGCAAGTCACAAAATAAACACGCTTGGATGAAGTGCCTATCATAATCAAGAAACCTCAAGTAGGTGATCACAGTGTTTAGTCAACATTCCAAAGTCATGGCATACCGTAAGTCGGGATCAAGCCTGAGTCGTCTTATTGTTTCTCCCCGATCCCGATTAATCATATACTAGCTATCGAACCAAACATAAATTCCTCCAAAATCAACGACTTCCCGCTGCCCCTATCTCTCATCTCCATCCACACGACATATAAGTTTCTATATTCAAGTCCCAAGCAACCACTTGTTTCCCTAACTTCTCAGCACCATGTGTATACTTAACTCTAACTATGCATTCCTCACTGTCCAACTACGGTTAAGTTGGTTCCCCACGGAATGGAAATGGATTGTTGTAGAGTTTAGGTGAGAAGCGGGGAGTAGACTTCAGTGGTGTGTATGTCTCCGCTTTCATGCACTGGGACATGTGTGTGTGTTTGTTTGTTTGTTGATGAGAGTGTGAATGAGTGAATTGGTGTGGGAATGTTTGAGAGTGTTTACTGTTTGTTGATTTGTTGTGTATTTTGTTGATTTGTTTTAGTAGCCGTTCAGCTGCCCTATGCATTGTTTGTGCATGCTGGGTCGTTCCAGATGGCTGATAGTGAATGGATGCACTGCTATGCCTCTTGTCCATTATTGTTGGGACTTGTTGGGTACGATGTGCAGACCACATGTTGTCTGTCGTGAATTTGGTCTTGTGTGTGATTTGGAATATTGCGGTTGTTGTTGTTGTTGTTGTTGTTGAGAATGATGATGATGTTGCCGTTGTGTTTGTTGTTGTTGAGCGTGTGTTTTTGGGTTGTGTGCGTTGTGTGTTTTTGCGATTGAGATTGTGACTTCGTGACGTGTTTCTTGTGTTGGTTGATAGGTTTTGAGGTGGTATGTGCGCGTCTTACGGGTGTGTTTGTTTGATGATATATTCTGATGATTTTGAGTTTTGTCTTGTGTTTGTGTTTTATGAGTAGCCGCCGGATATGTCAGTGTATTTTTGATGTATGCTGAGATGATGGATGCGGCGATAGGGTAATTTGTCGGGTTGCACATGCAGGTTTGCCATTTACAATCTTTGTCATCACAACCGACAGACATGGAGCTTTATCATCGACAATGGTGTTTGCACTCCATTGTGTGTGTGTGTGTGTGTGTGTGTTGGTGAGAGTGTGAATGAGTGAATTGGTGTGGGAATGTTTGAGAGTGTTTACTGTTTGTTGATTTGTTGCGTATTTGTTGATTTGTTGTGTATTTTGTTGATTTGTTTTAGTAGCCGTTCAGCTGCCCTATGCATTGTTTGTGCATGCTGGGTCGTTCCAGATGGCTGATAGTGAATGGATGCACTGCTACGCCTCTTGTCCATTATTGTTGGGACTTGTTGGGTACGATGTGTAGACCACATGCATTGTAGTTGTTGTTACATTTCGACATGGAGGTATTTATTAGTATGTGAGTGTAGTTTGATGTTGAGGTGTTTGTGGTCTGATAGTTGTTATACTGCATTGTTCACATGTGTGAGCGATGTCGTTAAGACAACTGATATTTGTGCAGTGCAATTCGTGCATATGCGTAAACGTGTTTCAGTGTAATTGTTTGTTGCGTGTTGAATGGATGTACATTGTGGTTTGCTTCACATGTTTGCTCTGAATGAGTTGTAACTTTTGTGAGTGTGTTGTTTCTGTGAAGGGTATATGAATAGTTGTGTGTTGTTCTGGTTTGGTGAATGTGTAAGTGTGGTTGTTGTTGTTGTTCGTGATGGAATGGAAATGGATTGTTGTAGAGTTTAGGTGAGAAGCGGGGAGTAGACTTCAGTGGTGTGTATGTCTCCGCTTTCATGCACTGGGACATGTGTGTGTGTTTGTTTGTTTGTTGATGAGAGTGTGAATGAGTGAATTGGTGTGGGAATGTTTGAGAGTGTTTACTGTTTGTTGATTTGTTGTGTATTTTGTTGATTTGTTTTAGTAGCCGTTCAGCTGCCCTATGCATTGTTTGTGCATGCTGGGTCGTTCCAGATGGCTGATAGTGAATGGATGCACTGCTATGCCTCTTGTCCATTATTGTTGGGACTTGTTGGGTACGATGTGCAGACCACATGTTGTCTGTCGTGAATTTGGTCTTGTGTGTGATTTGGAATATTGCGGTTGTTGTTGTTGTTGTTGTTGTTGAGAATGATGATGATGTTGCCGTTGTGTTTGTTGTTGTTGAGCGTGTGTTTTTGGGTTGTGTGCGTTGTGTGTTTTTGCGATTGAGATTGTGACTTCGTGACGTGTTTCTTGTGTTGGTTGATAGGTTTTGAGGTGGTATGTGCGCGTCTTACGGGTGTGTTTGTTTGATGATATATTCTGATGATTTTGAGTTTTGTCTTGTGTTTGTGTTTTATGAGTAGCCGCCGGATATGTCAGTGTATTTTTGATGTATGCTGAGATGATGGATGCGGCGATAGGGTAATTTGTCGGGTTGCACATGCAGGTTTGCCATTTACAATCTTTGTCATCACAACCGACAGACATGGAGCTTTATCATCGACAATGGTGTTTGCACTCCATTGTGTGTGTGTGTGTGTGTGTGTGTGTTGGTGAGAGTGTGAATGAGTGAATTGGTGTGGGAATGTTTGAGAGTGTTTACTGTTTGTTGATTTGTTGTGTATTTTGTTGATTTGTTTTAGTAGCCGTTCAGCTGCCCTATGCATTGTTTGTGCATGCTGGGTCGTTCCAGATGGCTGATAGTGAATGGATGCACTGCTATGCCTCTTGTCCATTATTGTTGGGACTTGTTGGGTACGATGTGTAGACCACATGCATTGTAGTTGTTGTTACATTTCGACATGGAGGTATTTATTAGTATGTGAGTGTAGTTTGATGTTGAGGTGTTTGTGGTCTGATAGTTGTTATACTGCATTGTTCACATGTGTGAGCGATGTCGTTAAGACAACTGATATTTGTGCAGTGCAATTCGTGCATATGCGTAAACGTGTTTCAGTGTAATTGTTTGTTGCGTGTTGAATGGATGTACATTGTGGTTTGCTTCACATGTTTGCTCTGAATGAGTTGTAACTTTTGTGAGTGTGTTGTTTCTGTGAAGGGTATATGAATAGTTGTGTGTTGTTCTGGTTTGGTGAATGTGTAAGTGTGGTTGTTGTTGTTGTTCGTGATGGAATGGAAATGGATTGTTGTAGAGTTTAGGTGAGAAGCGGGGAGTAGACTTCAGTGGTGTGTATGTCTCCGCTTTCATGCACTGGGACATGTGTGTGTGTTTGTTTGTTTGTTGATGAGAGTGTGAATGAGTGAATTGGTGTGGGAATGTTTGAGAGTGTTTACTGTTTGTTGATTTGTTGTGTATTTTGTTGATTTGTTTTAGTAGCCGTTCAGCTGCCCTATGCATTGTTTGTGCATGCTGGGTCGTTCCAGATGGCTGATAGTGAATGGATGCACTGCTATGCCTCTTGTCCATTATTGTTGGGACTTGTTGGGTACGATGTGCAGACCACATGTTGTCTGTCGTGAATTTGGTCTTGTGTGTGATTTGGAATATTGCGGTTGTTGTTGTTGTTGTTGTTGTTGAGAATGATGATGATGTTGCCGTTGTGTTTGTTGTTGTTGAGCGTGTGTTTTTGGGTTGTGTGCGTTGTGTGTTTTTGCGATTGAGATTGTGACTTCGTGACGTGTTTCTTGTGTTGGTTGATAGGTTTTGAGGTGGTATGTGCGCGTCTTACGGGTGTGTTTGTTTGATGATATATTCTGATGATTTTGAGTTTTGTCTTGTGTTTGTGTTTTATGAGTAGCCGCCGGATATGTCAGTGTATTTTTGATGTATGCTGAGATGATGGATGCGGCGATAGGGTAATTTGTCGGGTTGCACATGCAGGTTTGCCATTTACAATCTTTGTCATCACAACCGACAGACATGGAGCTTTATCATCGACAATGGTGTTTGCACTCCATTGTGTGTGTGTGTGTGTGTGTGTGTGTTGGTGAGAGTGTGAATGAGTGAATTGGTGTGGGAATGTTTGAGAGTGTTTACTGTTTGTTGATTTGTTGTGTATTTTGTTGATTTGTTTTAGTAGCCGTTCAGCTGCCCTATGCATTGTTTGTGCATGCTGGGTCGTTCCAGATGGCTGATAGTGAATGGATGCACTGCTATGCCTCTTGTCCATTATTGTTGGGACTTGTTGGGTACGATGTGTAGACCACATGCATTGTAGTTGTTGTTACATTTCGACATGGAGGTATTTATTAGTATGTGAGTGTAGTTTGATGTTGAGGTGTTTGTGGTCTGATAGTTGTTATACTGCATTGTTCACATGTGTGAGCGATGTCGTTAAGACAACTGATATTTGTGCAGTGCAATTCGTGCATATGCGTAAACGTGTTTCAGTGTAATTGTTTGTTGCGTGTTGAATGGATGTACATTGTGGTTTGCTTCACATGTTTGCTCTGAATGAGTTGTAACTTTTGTGAGTGTGTTGTTTCTGTGAAGGGTATATGAATAGTTGTGTGTTGTTCTGGTTTGGTGAATGTGTAAGTGTGGTTGTTGTTGTTGTTCGTGATGGAATGGAAATGGATTGTTGTAGAGTTTAGGTGAGAAGCGGGGAGTAGACTTCAGTGGTGTGTATGTCTCCGCTTTCATGCACTGGGACATGTGTGTGTGTTTGTTTGTTTGTTGATGAGAGTGTGAATGAGTGAATTGGTGTGGGAATGTTTGAGAGTGTTTACTGTTTGTTGATTTGTTGTGTATTTTGTTGATTTGTTTTAGTAGCCGTTCAGCTGCCCTATGCATTGTTTGTGCATGCTGGGTCGTTCCAGATGGCTGATAGTGAATGGATGCACTGCTATGCCTCTTGTCCATTATTGTTGGGACTTGTTGGGTACGATGTGCAGACCACATGTTGTCTGTCGTGAATTTGGTCTTGTGTGTGATTTGGAATATTGCGGTTGTTGTTGTTGTTGTTGTTGAGAATGATGATGATGTTGCCGTTGTGTTTGTTGTTGTTGAGCGTGTGTTTTTGGGTTGTGTGCGTTGTGTGTTTTTGCGATTGAGATTGTGACTTCGTGACGTGTTTCTTGTGTTGGTTGATAGGTTTTGAGGTGGTATGTGCGCGTCTTACGGGTGTGTTTGTTTGATGATATATTCTGATGATTTTGAGTTTTGTCTTGTGTTTGTGTTTTATGAGTAGCCGCCGGATATGTCAGTGTATTTTTGATGTATGCTGAGATGATGGATGCGGCGATAGGGTAATTTGTCGGGTTGCACATGCAGGTTTGCCATTTACAATCTTTGTCATCACAACCGACAGACATGGAGCTTTATCATCGACAATGGTGTTTGCACTCCATTGTGTGTGTGTGTGTGTGTGTGTGTGTGTGTTGGTGAGAGTGTGAATGAGTGAATTGGTGTGGGAATGTTTGAGAGTGTTTACTGTTTGTTGATTTGTTGTGTATTTTGTTGATTTGTTTTAGTAGCCGTTCAGCTGCCCTATGCATTGTTTGTGCATGCTGGGTCGTTCCAGATGGCTGATAGTGAATGGATGCACTGCTATGCCTCTTGTCCATTATTGTTGGGACTTGTTGGGTACGATGTGTAGACCACATGCATTGTAGTTGTTGTTACATTTCGACATGGAGGTATTTATTAGTATGTGAGTGTAGTTTGATGTTGAGGTGTTTGTGGTCTGATAGTTGTTATACTGCATTGTTCACATGTGTGAGCGATGTCGTTAAGACAACTGATATTTGTGCAGTGCAATTCGTGCATATGCGTAAACGTGTTTCAGTGTAATTGTTTGTTGCGTGTTGAATGGATGTACATTGTGGTTTGCTTCACATGTTTGCTCTGAATGAGTTGTAACTTTTGTGAGTGTGTTGTTTCTGTGAAGGGTATATGAATAGTTGTGTGTTGTTCTGGTTTGGTGAATGTGTAAGTGTGGTTGTTGTTGTTGTTCGTGATGGAATGGAAATGGATTGTTGTAGAGTTTAGGTGAGAAGCGGGGAGTAGACTTCAGTGGTGTGTATGTCTCCGCTTTCATGCACTGGGACATGTGTGTGTGTTTGTTTGTTTGTTGATGAGAGTGTGAATGAGTGAATTGGTGTGGGAATGTTTGAGAGTGTTTACTGTTTGTTGATTTGTTGTGTATTTTGTTGATTTGTTTTAGTAGCCGTTCAGCTGCCCTATGCATTGTTTGTGCATGCTGGGTCGTTCCAGATGGCTGATAGTGAATGGATGCACTGCTATGCCTCTTGTCCATTATTGTTGGGACTTGTTGGGTACGATGTGCAGACCACATGTTGTCTGTCGTGAATTTGGTCTTGTGTGTGATTTGGAATATTGCGGTTGTTGTTGTTGTTGTTGTTGTTGTTGAGAATGATGATGATGTTGCCGTTGTGTTTGTTGTTGTTGAGCGTGTGTTTTTGGGTTGTGTGCGTTGTGTGTTTTTGCGATTGAGATTGTGACTTCGTGACGTGTTTCTTGTGTTGGTTGATAGGTTTTGAGGTGGTATGTGCGCGTCTTACGGGTGTGTTTGTTTGATGATATATTCTGATGATTTTGAGTTTTGTCTTGTGTTTGTGTTTTATGAGTAGCCGCCGGATATGTCAGTGTATTTTTGATGTATGCTGAGATGATGGATGCGGCGATAGGGTAATTTGTCGGGTTGCACATGCAGGTTTGCCATTTACAATCTTTGTCATCACAACCGACAGACATGGAGCTTTATCATCGACAATGGTGTTTGCACTCCATTGTGTGTGTGTGTGTGTGTGTGTGTGTGTGTTGGTGAGAGTGTGAATGAGTGAATTGGTGTGGGAATGTTTGAGAGTGTTTACTGTTTGTTGATTTGTTGTGTATTTTGTTGATTTGTTTTAGTAGCCGTTCAGCTGCCCTATGCATTGTTTGTGCATGCTGGGTCGTTCCAGATGGCTGATAGTGAATGGATGCACTGCTATGCCTCTTGTCCATTATTGTTGGGACTTGTTGGGTACGATGTGTAGACCACATGCATTGTAGTTGTTGTTACATTTCGACATGGAGGTATTTATTAGTATGTGAGTGTAGTTTGATGTTGAGGTGTTTGTGGTCTGATAGTTGTTATACTGCATTGTTCACATGTGTGAGCGATGTCGTTAAGACAACTGATATTTGTGCAGTGCAATTCGTGCATATGCGTAAACGTGTTTCAGTGTAATTGTTTGTTGCGTGTTGAATGGATGTACATTGTGGTTTGCTTCACATGTTTGCTCTGAATGAGTTGTAACTTTTGTGAGTGTGTTGTTTCTGTGAAGGGTATATGAATAGTTGTGTGTTGTTCTGGTTTGGTGAATGTGTAAGTGTGGTTGTTGTTGTTGTTCGTGATGGAATGGAAATGGATTGTTGTAGAGTTTAGGTGAGAAGCGGGGAGTAGACTTCAGTGGTGTGTATGTCTCCGCTTTCATGCACTGGGACATGTGTGTGTGTTTGTTTGTTTGTTGATGAGAGTGTGAATGAGTGAATTGGTGTGGGAATGTTTGAGAGTGTTTACTGTTTGTTGATTTGTTGTGTATTTTGTTGATTTGTTTTAGTAGCCGTTCAGCTGCCCTA